CAGCCCTCGAGAGCGCCCTTGCGGCCTTGCGGCCTGACACCCGCCCCCTCTGCTCAGCGCTCGCTCCAGCCGCAACAGCAGCAGCCGGAGGGCCCCTCTGCCGCGGACGGTGTGCTAGAGGCACTGCTGGTGCCCGGGGAAGGCGTGGACGTACTGGTGCCCGGAGGGGACTTGGACACTTTCGTGCAGTGCGCATTCAGAGAGGCGGAGCAGGCGGCCCTGGCGGTAGAGGAGGACGGCAGCGGCACGGAGGAGGGGGGCTTCGCGTTTGCGCCGCTGGACCTGTCCTTCTCGCAGGGGGTGGAGACTCGCTGGCGCATGACTGCCGCAGCCATCGAGGCCTACGTGCTCAGCGACGGCTTCCTGCAGCTGGTAGCGTCGCAGCAGGCCATGGCTCCACGGCCCTTCGACCCAGCCGTGGAGGCCTCCGCTATGGGCCCGCTCAAGACTCAGATCGCGGCTCTGTCCAACCTGTACATGCTGGGCCAGCGGGAGGAGTACGGCATGTTCGAGCTGCACCACACGCTGAGCGGCACCCTGCGTATTTTCGAGCAGCAGTCGCTGGCCATAGCAGACACCGCAGTCGAGGGCGTATCTCAGCAGAGACGGCAGATCGCGCAGCTGCAGGGAGACCTCCGACATGCCCGCATCTGGCTTGACGTGCACGACGCCAATCTGCAGCAGCTGGAGGTACACACACACATATATACACATACATACACACATACATATACGCATACATACACACGCGCGTCTCGCCGATACTCACTCACGGAGCTGACCTCTACCCGCCCCACCCCTCTCTCTTTCCCCGTACCCGCTGTGCGCAGGACTGCGGCGCCAAGATCGCCAGTGCGCGTGCCCTGCGTGAGGAGTGGCTGCAGCAGGAGGCGGAGCTGGGGCAGGGGCTGCAGGCGGCGGTGGCCCAGCGTGCGCAACTGCAGACCTCGCTCGCAGAAGGTGCGCGCTGTGCCATGAGGCTGCTGCTCGCCGCATAGTGACACCGCCGAATTTCTCTCTCTGCTTTGCCGATACTAACACCCGCTTCTGCTGCCCTCTCCCCCCCCTCCCCCCCCCCTCCTTCCTCCCCCCTCGCCCTGCTCCCGCAGTGCAAGACGCGATAAGGTCCGTGGCGGCGGAGCTGAAGACCGACTCCGACATATGCGCGCTCGTGCGGAAGCAGGCGCAGATGGCCACTGCGGAGAAGTTCTGGCGAGAGAGGGCGCGCGCCCTCAAGCGCGCCGTGTTCCGACTGCTGCGCTCCCGCACGAGACGGCAGTCCAGGATCAGGCACTTCCACTGGCGGCTGGTGCGGCGCAGGGGCGCGGCGGTGCGGCTGGTTTGCTTCCGCGCCTGGGTGTGCTTTCTGTGCGTCGAGCAGCGGGGTAGGCAGCTGCAGCGGCGCAAGCAGCGCGGCGACAAGACTGGTGCCTTCAGAGCGTGGCGTGGCAGGTTCCTGAGGCGCTTTTGCGAGCTGCCCAGGATCCAGGGCGAGATGCAGCGGTACCAGCTGCGCTCCGCCTTCGGGGCCTTCCGGGGCTGCGTGAAGGCGCTGCGCGTGGTGCAGGTGGAGGACGCGCGCCACGATCTGTACGTCAGCCTATTCCGGTCCATACGCGTGTTCCGCGCCTGGAAGCGCTGGACACAGGAGGGTGTGCAGAGACAGCAGCATGCGCTGGGGGAGGCGCGGCGCAGGAGGCAGCGGGGCGTGCTCGAGGGCTGGGCGCAGGTTACACAGCAGCAGCGCGAAGAGCACGAGGGCCGAGCAAGCGCCGTGGGGTCCAGGCACTCCGCTCTGCTGCAGAGGGGCGCCTGGCACAAGTGGGCGGCGACCAGGAGATTCCGGCTGCTGCTGGGCGAGCACCGCAGGAAGGGACGGGCTTTCCGCGCATTGCGACGACGCGTGGCTAGTTTCCAGCGGCAGCGCGCCCTGCAGCAGGTGACCCAGGCGGGCGCGGGGCGCAGGGTGACTGAGACGGCGCTGCACCTGACCTTGCGGCGCTGGCACGCGTCTGCCGCGAAGAGCCGCCACTGCAGCCTGGCCGCCGCGCAGATGAGCGCAGTGGTGCAGCGAAAGGTCGAGGGCGGCGCCTGGGCTGCGTGGTGCGCTCTGTCCGCGCACTTCCGGCAGCTCCAGCGCAAGCTGGTGGCGCTGACTCTCTTGCGCAGAGCCTCCGCTGTGCGGCGCTGCTTCGGGCGCTGGAAGGGCGCGCTGACTCTAGAGATGCAGACACGCCTCTCGCGCAACGCAACCGCGGCCAGCGAGCAGCTACGGCGACACCACATGCACAGCTTCTACGCGAAGATGGGGGACAAGGTCAAGTCGGCAGCGGACGGGGGCACGGGGCTATCAGCAGCAGTGTGCACATCGTTTGCGTCTGTGGCCTGTGAGGGGTCCGGTATCGAGCAGGGCGCTAAGGGTATGAGCTCGGTGGACTTTGAGATGCTCTACCTAGACGACTTCGACGACGAGGAGGAAGAGGAGGACGAAGAGAAGGGAGAGGGAGAGGGAGAGGGCGGGGGTCAGGCATCAAGCAGTGGGGTAGATGCGGGCGACAGGGACGGGGATCGCTTCTTGTCGCTGCTGCCGCCGTCCCGACTCTCTGCGGCGGCCTACTGCGTGCAGCTGCGCCGGTACCTCGCCCGCTGGGGCAGCCGCGCCTCTCTACGGAGGCGCCTGCGGTCCCGGCATGCGCGGGTGCTGGCGCTGGCGCGCAGTGGCGTGGTGCGCCGCAGCTTCGCGACGATGGGCTGTATGCTGGGTGCCGCCCTGTTGCGACGCGTCTCGGACCTGCGCGCCTTCCTGCAGGAGCACGAGGTGGAGGAACAGGAACAGGGGCCGGCGCATTCGGATGTGGCCAGTCGGCGCTCGCAGCTGGAGCGGGAGACGGCGGAGCAGCAGCGGCGGCGCGAAGACCTGCAGATCGACGTGGACGCGCTGCTGATCTCTGACACGGAGGCGAGGGACCGGGAGGAGCAGCAGGAGGCGGCCCTCTCGGACCTGCGCTCCTCCATCGCGGCGCTTGCCGGTGAGCGGTTTCAGCTGCAGCATCGGCTCCTGCAGGCCACACAGTACGTGCAACGCGTGCAGGCCCTGCAGGACGAATTCCTCGCGCAACCAGTGGAAGGCGCAGCCTTTGTCTCCGTCTCTGCCTCTGCCTCTATCTCTGCCCCTGTCTCGAGGCCTGTCTCTGCTGCGGACGCGTCGACCTACACGATCTCGGGCATGGACCTACACGTGGATCTGCACGACGCGGACCCCGCGGACGAACGCCTGCTGCTGCTTGCAGACGTGGAGGGTCTGTACCGCGCAGCCGTGCAGGCGCAGGAGGGCAAGGAGCGGCGGCTGCAGCACTTGCTGGCGCAGAGAGAGGCGGCGCACACTGCAGCCAGGCAACGCGGCGAGCAGCTGCAGCAGCTAGAGGGACGGGTGACCGTGGTGCAGGAGGAGCGGCAGCGGCTGGAGGCGTCTCTGCACAGCTGCACGGCGGCCCTGGAGCAGGCCTTCCAGCAGGTGGCCAGGCAAACGGAGACGCACGAGGCACAGCTGCGGGACCTGGCTGCGGAGGAGGCTGAGCTCAGGCAGCGCCTGCAGCAGCTGGCCGGTGCGGAGCAGGAGCTGGAGCGCAGGCTGGAGGAGAGGCAGGTGGAGCTGCGCGCGAGCGGTCTCCCCATGCCGCTGCCCTTGTCGTTGGAGCAAGGCGCCACTGCCTCTGGCACCACTTCCAGTCCGCAAGAGCAGGCGCGCAGGGAGGCGCTGGCCGTGGAGCACTTGAGTAGAGCTAGGGCGGGCAGCGCTGCGGCGGCTGTGGGTGTGGACAGGGGCGGGTGGGCTGGCAATCCGAGTGAGCGCGGCGCGGCTCTGGGCTCCTTCCTGCTGCCCACCGCACTAAAGCCGCTGCCGTCCCAGCAGCAGCAGCCGTCAGAGGGCGTCACGGCTGAAGGCACCGCCGCAGGAAGAGCAAGGCCCGCCAAGCAGTTACCCGGCCCGCGCTCGTCATCACAGTCTGCGTTGCACGCGAAGTCTCAGGCACGCTCTTCGCGCGATGGAAAGGAAAATGTGCTCCTGCTGGTTGCGGGGGGCGGCAGAGCGACAGCTGCGCACCCCACCAGCAGGACTGCTCCCGCGGCAGCGAGCAGTAGACAGCGCGCAGCGCCGTCGCGCAGAAGCACCACCAAAGTCACCCAGCCTGTGCCCGCTCCCTCGCCCTGCGCCGCCGCCTCGTTTCTTGCTACGAGCGAGGAGGACATCGGTCGGCAGATTGAGGAGCTCTCCTCCCGCATCCGCAGGCGATTCACCGCTCTCTGAATCGGTGCGGCCGGTCATTCGTGTCGTGTAGGGTGTAGATGAATATGAAATTGTATTACTTTATATGAACAAGGCTTTTCTTTCTGTCGACAAGGCTTTTCTTTAATACCAAATACATTACAGTATTCTACAGTATATAGTTTAACAGGACCTGGGGGTTTCGTTTTGCACCAATTACCATGCTGACAGGATGTCGTCAGAACGGCCCCCAACGATTAAAAAGATGACGTCGGAAAATATCATAAATAAGCAAGCGACCTTCCCCTCGCAACCCCGGCGGATTTGGCTTTTTTCGTCGCTGGGCGACATAAATACTTCTTTATATTGACCAATAATTCGGTAATATGCCGTGTCACTACTTTTACAAGAAGGGACCGCCGCACTAGCTTAGAGGTAGAGCATCACACTTGTAATGTGAAGGTCCAGAGTTCGATTCTCTGGTGTGGCTCTTTTTGCCGAAGTTTTGCTCTTTTTCTCTCACCAAAGCAAGCCCTCTCTCCGGCCGATCCAATCTGGATCAACAGCTAACTACACTCACGGTGCAGGCAACCCTTGCTCAAGCAGTCAGAAGACTTCGGACCTCACTCTGAGTGAGTGCTCGTGTTCCCGCAACGATGAAGATCGCGATATACAGCCACTCGATCGCACCATCCATCGATGGCGTGTGCAGACGCTTCACCGGCATTCTCCATGAGATGGAGAAGCAGGGGCACGAGACTATCCTATTCACGATGGAGGATGAGCCTGAGGACTTGCCGGCTTCTACTTGTACGGTGACTCTCGATCACGTCATATTTCCCTCCTACCCGAACAAGAAGGTGGCATGGCCCACAGCGAGGGCGTTCTCGGCGATAATGAGCACGCTGGCAAGGGAGAAGCCAGAGGTGGGTGCCCGGTGTCAGCTTGCCCTCCTCAGTGCCGTACTTGTGTATCCGCTTGCAACGCATTGCCCTCGCATCATCTCATGCCTGCTCCCCTATGTTGCTCTCAGATCTTGCACGTGGTGGCAGACGGCTTCTCGAACATGTTCACTTTGGCGGGTCTGTGGCTGGGCATTCCCGTGGTGGGCTCCTTTCACACAGACATTCTGGACCTGCTGAGCACGCACAACGCGTTCGGCTTCCAGAAGCTGCTGGTGCAGACCAAGGAGGCCATGGACTCGGTCGTGCTGGACTCCTGCGCCACCACCTCCTCCTCATTCATGGTCAGAAAGCACACCGACCCGCCCCTCCTCGATCGCTGCACCCCGCATCCCTGCCTTGCTGCATCCTCATTATTCATGTCCTATGCGATCTACTTGCTAACGATGTCTATCCCGTCCCCTCCTGTGCCTGCAGAAAAAGCTGTCATCGCAGGGCGTGCACTGTGAGCACATAATCATCACGGCGGTCGACGTCATAACCTTCTCCCCGTCCAAGAAAAGCGAGTAAGCAGTCCATCCCGCTCCGGCCTGTGGGGATGGAACGACACCAACTCCACCACCTAACGCGCTCTGTATCTCTGTTTCTGCGTGCACTCTCTCTCTCCCTTTCCCTCTTCTCACAGGTCTTTGCGCAAGGAAATGATGTTCGGAGACGCGGATGGCTTCCTGTGCGTATACGTGGGGCGCATCAGCAACGAGAAGCGCCTAGACGTGGTCATCGACGCTATGCAGAGACTGGCGGGCAGCAGCAACGCATACCTAGCCATCGTGGGGGACGGACCCAGCGCTCCCGTGTACGCGAAGATGCACGGCAAGGAACAGCGCATCTACTGCCGGCCGCGCTTCCTGAGCCATCTGGAGCTGGCGGAGGTGTACGCCTCGGCGGACCTGCACGTCTCCGCCTCCGAGTTCGAGACGCTGGGCAACACAGTGCTGGAGGCCTTCGCCTGCAACGTGCCCGTGGTGGTGCCGCGCACGCAGGGCTTCCGGGACACAGTGCGGCACGAGGTGGATGGGTACCTCTTCAACCCCTCAGACAGAGAGGACGCCAGGAGGTGAGTCAGACAGAAGAAAGATAAAGAGGGGAAGGAGACGCATCTGCTATCCCCACCCTCTCTGTCTCTGGCTCTCCCCCCGTCCCTCCCTCTTCCTCTGCCTCTAAATGTGCATCTACCTCTGCCTCTACCTCTGCAGGTACATTCAGCTGATGAAGGACGACAGTAAGATGCGGAAAACGTTCGGAGACAAGGGCCGCGAAGCTGTGCGCACCAAGACGATCGAGTACGTTGTCAAGGACTTGTTCGACTGGTACGCGCTGGGCAGGCGGCGTAGGCACAGCAGACAGGTCTGGCAGAAGGTCGTGTCCATAGCGCTGCTGGCTGGCATGGTGCCGCTGACCATCGCCATGTTCTGCGCCTATAATATGGTACGCACTGCATATATATATATGTACTGCACTGCTGCGCCCCCGCCCCCTTCCGTGCGTAAGTGTGGGTAGTGCGCACTGTTCTAACTTCTCCATCTCCCCCTCTCTCCACCCCACTCCCACTCTCTGCCCCTCTCCCGCTCTCTGCACCTCTCCCGCTATCTGTCCCTCTCAGATCAATGCGCTACTGGCGCCCTTCATCTCTTTCAGCGAATACAACGCCCTGCCCACCGCCGACAATAGCACGAGTGAAGCCAGCAGTCGAAAACAACAGTAGACCAGACTCGTTCCGAGTGAAGAGGCAATAGAGACCTTGTAATATTTAATGGATTCGTGCCGTTGTAATGTCATATACTCACCCCCATTTCTAGTTTACCTGTTTACCTGTTGTCTTGGAATGGGGGCTGAGGTCCCTGTAGAAATTCCCAGCGAGGAAATGCTGGTTGCTGTTTTGCTTAGGAGCAAACAGCTCCAGAGCAACAGCAGCACTTACCCGCGACTACAAAAACGAAATGAGTGTACTAGATGCATAATCATCATATTAGTCTACTAAAAAGGTGTCATAATTGCATAAAGTGATCAGGAGCAGAAGTTATTGACGTCCTAATGTAGGCGCTGTTTATGCTGTTTTCTCACAATCTTGACGAGAAGGGGCTCGGCAAAGGCGCAGGATATGGTGGCACTGCTGGACTGCTGCTGGGAGGGGAAAATCATCGACGACATTGAACAGCAGTTGAAAGAACCTGTAGAAAAGGACTGAATCAATAGAAGCGGCGGCGATATCTGCACCTGACTCATCGGTTCCGAGCGGCGATCTAGGCCCCACAGCACGATGTCGGCTTTTGCAGAAGAGGAGGTGTCAAATGTGGAGATTTCCCTGATCACTATCGACGAGTGCTTTGTGTATAAGGTGCCGCCTCTGCGCACTGCGTCGGGGCATCGCGCTGAAGACTGGAATCTTGCCAACCCCATATTCACCGGCTGCTTGAAGATCTTCCAGGGAGGGGACAAGCTGCGGCTGGTGGTCTACTCCTTCAAGGACCCCCTAAAAACCAGCGTGACGGCGGAGAATATTCAGATGTTCGGCGAGTGCCCCATAGGTGAGAGGGAAAAGAGAGGCAGCCCATTGCCGGGAACTTACTACCGTCGTCATCACAGCTAATCCCCCCTCCCGCCTGCACTCCGCAGAGGTGAAGCCCGGCGAGAACATCCTGGGTTTCGTGGACGCCGTAATTGACTCCTCCCGCTACTACGTGGTGCGCATAAAGGACCCCGAGAGCAGCCGCTCCACTTTGGTGGGGGTGGGCTTCCGAGACAGGGAGTGCGCCTTCGACTTTAAAAACTGCCTGAACGGTGTGTAATTCCCCTCCTTCTATACTGTAAATGTGTATTTATCCCCTCCTTCTATGCCGTAAATGTGTACTTAAACCTGACCCTAACCCTAACCCCCACTCTCAGACTATGTGAAATTCGTCAACCGCATGCAGCTCGCATCGCAATTGGCCGCCAACGCATTCTCAGAGGCGGGCGCGGGCGCGGGGGTGGCGGCTGAGGAAGACAGCAGCTGCATGGATTCGTCGTCTGGGTATGCGTCTGTGGCGGCGGCCAGTACTGCGAAGGTGGTGCGTTTTGTGTGTTGTATTTATATGTTGTGTGTTTCGTGCGCTGTGCTTCTTGCTGCGTGAAAAGTGCTGTGCTACGTGCTGTGTGCTTGTGCTTTGCTGCCGTGCCTTGCTGTGCCCTGGTGCTCGGCGTGTTACGGGTGAAGGCACAACAATCGAATCGAGTGGTGGTCGTATCCCGCACCCGCGGATGACGATAAACGGTTTTACTCACCTGACGGAACCCGCCCAGCACTTCCGCCTCTGCCGCGCTGTACCTCTCCCCCGCCCTCCCCCTCTCCCCTCCCTTCTCTAACCTTCTAGCCCCCCTGTCCCCTCCCCTCCCCACTCCCCCTCCATTCAGCAGGGCGGGCAGTCGGCGCAATGGATGCATATTACGCCGCTGGCGGAGGGAGAGAAGATCAAAGTCAAGGTGGGGCATAAGACAGAAGCGGGGGCGGGCAAGGCCAAGCCCAGCGGTGCGGGGGGGGGGCTGAGGCCACCACCACCCCCGGGCTCAGTGGTAAAGTTCCAGGATGCGCCCGCCCCTGCCCCCGCTACCCCCGCTGCCCCCGCTGCCGCCCCGGCCGAGGAGGACGACTGGGGAGACTTCAGCAGTGCGTAACATCTGACCTCTAATGGCGCCCTCGTCTTGTAAAGCAGTGTAAATAATAAATGAAGATGTCTGAGTCTCTTTCATTAGGCTTATTAGGGTCCTAAGACTTACAGTTCTTAAGCAGTACAAGCTGAGGCGTGTGAGACCAGCGGCGGTGTGGTACGGGTGTGCGATCCCCCGGATTATGCGCTGAAGCTCTCGCCTACCAGCCCGCAGAGCACGCCCGAGTCTAGGCCCCGGTATTGCAGCACCTGCCTGCGCGGAGCCTGTCCCCTCTGCAGCGCCGTGATGGTCCCGTGCACCTCAGAGGAGAAGCCGGACTCCAGCGCGCCCACCGTCACCGTGAAGTCTGCGCGGTATCGGAGGTACTCGGCCAGACAAGGCCCACTAGGGCCTACGGGCGGCGGCGAGAGGAAGTCCCAGGTTCCCCCGACTCCTGCGCACTGGGCGGCCAGCGCGGCTGTGGCGGAGGAGCCTCCGAGCGCGGCCCCCATTCCCAGGTTCCCCGCGCCCATGGCTCCAGGGGGACATAGCTGGCTGACGGCTTCCTGCGGATGCCGGCAGAAGGCGGCGAAGTAGTCGATACCGCCACCGCTGCTGCTGCTGCCACTACCGCTAAAGCTGCTTCCGCTGCTAATGCTGCTATCAGCCCCTGCCTGGCGCAGACTGGCAATGCAGAGGGCGATGAACCCCCTGGCCGCTGCGGGGGAGGGGGCCAGTAGCTCCAGGCAGTCAGCGTCGTCCACCAGTAGCGCCACTCGCTGCGACCCCACGCTACCACCAATACCACCGCCACCATTGCCGCTGCTACCCCCGTTGCCACTGCTGCTACTGCCACCACTGCGCATAGTGGACGGCAGCGGAACCCCGGCATCCGCTCCCC